GCAAACTCCAGATGACAAGCAAGTGTAGTATGCGTCGTTGCACAGATTTGTTGAGCTGTTGGGAAGCATGTCGCCTGGCGTCGCTTCGTCCAAATGGTTCATCAGCACTTCGGTCCTCCCATGACAGACACGCCACTTGGTGAATTGAAGTTGTTGGGGCGCACAAGGTCTATGGAGGATTACAGTGACCACTTCATGTCCCTCTCATGCCGCGACCCCGAGTTGATGCAGTCCCAACTCATTGAATTGTACACAGCCAGTCTTGAGAACCCCCTCAAAACAGATGTGGCATTGCGGAGGCCAGAGACCCTAAATGACACCGTCATGCATGCACATGCATATGAACAGCGCCTCCAGTTTGTGCTAGTGGACTCGGGACAGCGAAACTGACCTTTCCGAGGAACACAACTGTCGCCTGTTGTGAGCACACCGGCCTCAGGATCTGCATCAGTGTCTTCGGTTTCTTCTAAGCCGCTGGGCCGCTAGTAGCCACACACCCACAGCGGCACCTCACACCAGCTGAGATGGCCCAGAGGCATGCAGATGGCTTGTGTTATAATTGCGATGAGACATTCGTGTATGGACACAAGTGCAAATGTGTGTCCGTGCTAGAGATCATGCCTGAAGATGTCGGTAAGGAGGTTGTGGACATCACGACTTTGGCAAACACCGAGACACCAGAAATCTTGCTTCAGGCAGTCACTGGAGATCTCCACATTCAGAACTACAAGGATTGGAATCTATTTTGGTCTAGTTCACCTCACTGCTCAGCTTGACTCTGCGTCATCACACAATTTTGTGGACGGAGATGTCGCTTGCCAGCTCGGCCTCCGGATACACAGCACGCACAGGATGTGTGTCACCGTGGACTGCCCGAGTATGTTCCCAGACATGGCAGTGGTGATCGGGTCTGAGAATTTCGTCATGGACTGCTATGCCATGCCTTTGGGTGGCCATGATGTCATTTTGGAGGCTGCAATTCCTGGGCACTTTGGGTTGGGTCCAATTCTGTGGATCTTCACAGAGCAAACACTATGTTTATGTCAGGGTGACGCCGCATCATATGGACTGGGCTCGATAGAGATTCAGCAACCCACCTTAACACATTGCTGGCTGAATCCAGCAACATGATGGAGCACCTGCTAGCCACAACATTAGTCACGAAATCAGGCTGCACTCAGAAAGATGAGCTTGAACGCTAGTGCACGGAGATGCTGCGTCAAGGGATCATTCGGCACACCTTCTCTTCTGCAGCATTGCTTGTCAACAAACAAGACAAATCTTGGCGCATGAGCATCGACTATCGCGCTCTCAACGTCGATATGATTAAAGACCAGCTCCCAATACCGTTTGTCCAAGAGTTGCTGGAAGTACACATTCAGAACACATCAGCCCCAAGTTTCTAGTAATGCCTTTCCGACTCATGAACGCCTTGGCAACATTCCAGGCATTGATGAACAAGGTTACATGGTAGTTTTTTTTTTTTTTTTTTTGACAACATACTGATCAGTTCATCCTGGTTCGAGCATCTGCGGCATGTTCAACTAGTTATGTGAACACTGAGGAACGCTCCAAGTGTTCCTTTGGGGCGCACTCAATGGGATATCTCAGCCATACCATCAGCGCCATTGTCGCCATGGACAAAGCTAAGGTCCATGTAATTCTGTCTTGGCCCAAACCAAAGACGGTACGTGCAGTGTGAGGTTTTCTTGGCCTCACTGGTCAATAACTTACTATCGCCGGTCCATCAAGAACTTTGGAATCATCGCTGCGCCGTTAACAAAGCTGTAATGGAAGGAGGGGTTTAGCTGGACAGCATAGGCAGTGAGCGCGTTCCAGGAATTCCAGCGTGCCCTCACAACGGCTCCTATCCTACAAATGCCAGATTTCTCCATGGACTTTCCAGTTAAGTGTGATGCATTGGGATCGTGCTTCGGGGCTAGGCTGAGAAGCAGTAGCATTTTTCAGCCGACCAATCACACCCAGGCACGCCAAATTAGCAGCACACGAGCGTGAGCTAATAGGTCTTGCCCATGTTGTTCGCCATTCGGGACCTTACCTCTGGGGGAGGCCATTTGTCATGCTCACGGATCATTGGAGCTTGAAGTTCCTGCTCAATCAAAGATTGGTAACCATTCCGCATTACCAGTAGGCTAGCAAGCTTCTCAGGTTTGAATTCTCAGTCGAATACAAACCGGGATATACCAATGTGGTGGCGGACACACTATCCCACCATGGCACTGAGAAGTCGGCCGCCTGCCAGGCACTATCGACACCCAGGCTAGTCGTGTCCAATGATATCCACACGGTCCTAGGAGATAGTAGAGCAAAGGCAACAGCATACGTGGAAGGTTGGCAGGAGATAAGAGGGGTTGTTGCTTAAAAACAACAAAGTGTTTGTGCCTGCAACATCACATTGGGCGCAGACAGTAATAGCAGCAGCGCATGAAGGTATTCAAAAGACGCTTCATAGGTTGCATGCTGATTTCTGCATCTCTGGTGACAGAACACTGATTCGTCACTACTTGTCAGCAAAACAAAACTGAGCAGCTGTGCCCAGCCGGACTACTCCAAAACCTGCCAGTACCATCAGTGTTGTGGTCCGATATTGCCAGACTTTGTCAAGGAATTACCATGCGTCAGTGGGAAGTCAGTCATCTTAACTGTAGTGGACAGATTCTCTAAATCAGCACATTTTATTGCCCTGGGACACCCTTACACATCGAACTCACTAGCTTGGGCATTCTTTGTTGATAATGTCCGGCTCCATGGTATTCCGAGTTCTATTGTCAGTGATCAAGACCAAGTTTTTACAAGCACCTTTTGGCGCGATTTATTAACATTAGCCAGGGTTCACCACAACATGTTTTTTGCCTTCCACCCGCAGTCAAACGGTCAGTCAGAAGCCACTAATAAAATTATCGCGATGTATCTTCGCTGCTTAACTGGAGACCGACCAAGGCATTGGCTGCAACAGTTACCTCTTTGGGCGAGACTCGCCTTCACTACGTTCTATGAGCCGGTGAAGCACACCTTCCGGCTGCTAAGCAGCAACTTCAAGACTGATGAGTTCCTGGTGGAGATCAGGGAAAGATTGGAGCAAGCTCAGCAGTACCACAAGTCTCAATATGACAAGCATCATCGAGAGGTGACTTTCCATATCACCATCCACTAGCATCATTGGATGTATATGGCAGGAGCAAACTGGGACCTAAATTCTATGGTCCATTCAGGATCTTAGAGCAGATAGGCGACATTGCCTCGTCTTCAGCTGCTGGCAGGTGCAAAGGTCCATGATGTATTCATGTTGGATTGCTGAAGGCGTACAAGAGTGAGCCTCCTGCGTCGACACCACCAGTGCCAGCAATCAACCATGGTCGTGCTTGTGCTGAACTAGTGGCAGTGATCAAAGCACGCCTCACCCGTTGCATTCAAGGTCCTAGTACACCGAAAAGGTCACCTTGCAAAGAATGCATCGTGGATGACAGTGACGAAGTTCAGGTTTGTGCAGGCAGGGAGAAATGTCATGTGTGGCAAGGCTTATGCAAGGAGAAAGAAGAGGAAACACCTAGACCAAAGCGGCTCAGCACATGCACCCACACCAGAGGGGCGCGACCAGAGACCGACGTCACGACAGGGAGTCCGCGCATTATGTACCGGTTTGTTTAGGTTCAGGTTTAGTTGGTTCCTTGTTTAAGTTGGACTCATAGGGAGGTACTCCCTCCGCCCCAATAAAGTGTCATTCTCACTTCCCAAGAAGTCAAAAAAATTTAACCTTGACCAAATATATATAAGGTACTTTTGGTAAATAATTATATCATTAGATAGGTCATTATTCTAATATTCTATTTGAAGATACAAATGTTCTAACAGTTTAGATTGTCCATGAAAATCCTACATTATTGATGTTTCATTTGTTATGATTAGACATTTTTAATAGGGACTCAACTTCATTTAACAGGGACTTTAGGTAGGCATTAATTTGATCTGCCATGTTAATACTATTATTCTTCCTTTTCTGGTAATAATTTGATCTGCCTGTTCCTTGCATTTTGTTAATTACAAGTCTATACTTCCAAACCAAGCAAAATCACTCCTATATCTATATTTTGACGACATAGCGCTCATCCTACTGGCAACTCTAGCAGTAACCTTCTATAAGAAGGTTTAGTTTAGAATGGAAGTAAAGATAGGATCCACCATTCTCAAAGATATTAAAAGAAGATAATAATTGATCAAATGAGGCTTTTATACACCCAATAAACTACTCCCTCCATTCCAAATTATAAGATGTTTTGACTTTTCTAGATACATTGTGTTTACTGTATATCTAGACATAATGTACATCTAAGTGTGTAGCATAATCTATGTATCTAGAAAAGCCAAAACGTCTTATAATTTGGAATGGAGGGAGTAGAATAGTGTGTGCATTACTTCATCCTGTGAGATGATAACAGAATTTCTTGTCTAATGACATGCTTCAAGTTCTCTTAATAAACAATTAGCTTTTTAAGTTAGGAAATATATGGTTGCCAGGGTAACATTACATTTATTCTCAAACGCAGGGATAAGATTACACTGGTTTCTAACAGTGGGGGCCTCCCCTGCTGTTTTCCTGGCTCAAAAAAAAAAGATTACCCTGCTTAAGATTGGGTTCAATACTTTATATTATTTATCAGGGAGCCCTATAAATAGGGAGATTTGTAATATATTTGGAATGAAGAATGCCACCTTCCAATTATTCAGGACTCAGCTCACAGTCCCATCACTCCGAATCCCATACTGTTTTACTATGCCCTCTTCATTTCCAAAACACACTACTGTAATACGGATAATCAGCTCTAGCGGTAAGTGTAAACCTAAAATAACAAGTACCTATCACAGCACAACAATGACAATCAAGCACAGCCTGAAGCACTAGCTCTTAACCCAGAAGTTATCCAAACAGGTCAAGATATCAAGTTCAATGTATTGCAAAAAGGAGTGATTATTCTGTCAACCTAAAGTCCAGAAAAAATAAAATTCTTTTCAACAGAGCTCCAAGAACTTGTTTTCCTGGAAGCAAGGTATTTGTATAAGGAATGATTGCCAGAATACTCTAATCATTCATTACATGTTCAACTTTATTTATCACAATAGTTCAGGTATACTGGAATGAATTGTGTGCCACATTTGTTAGGATGCTACTAAGCTACTTTCAGACTGTCTAATCATGAAAACACCACATAAAATGAGCTTTGATAGCAGTAATTGGAGGATCGACAGCAGAAGAAAATACAGATAGGGTTTCCATCAAATAACTTTCATGATATACAAGCAACAAAAGAGAAGTTCACCATCATTGGAAAGATAGAAATGCGTCCAAATGTGGCAAGACAAACTCCTCACCTTGTGGCTACATGTTCTTCAATTACTTTCTCTTCGTCTTCAGTAAACATAAACCACTTGTCTTTATTTGCCATTAATTCATCATCACCATACTCTGTCATAAACATGATATACAAATCGGTAATGTAGCATTCCAGAGGCTACAAGAGTAAATTAAACCTTATTGCATAAGAACTTCAAACAAACCTTGAAGCAATATTGCTGAGTTATCACAGTAACCATCTAGCTTCCAATATGCTACTCCTTTCTCTACCATCAGAGGCTTGGTCCAAAGACCTCCTTGCTTCTCCATAGTTGCCATATCTGGGAAGCAAAAGATGAACATTCATACTAAACAACTAGCTCAAATGTAAATATCTTTTTTCAAGGTGTTTGGTTGTGTTGTAACTCCCTTCTTTTACTGCAATGATACACAGCTCTCCATCGTGTTCGAGAAAAAAAAAAGGAAGTGTGGTGTGAAAACACATAAAATAAAAGTTGCAACTAATCAAACAGATAGAGAACTGAGAAAGTTGCATAAAGCTAACAAATTTAAAGTGGAAAGTTCTAGATATATCCAATCATATTGTTCAGACCATTTATGGCTGCACGCTTGACTTCCTGTGCCTCCTTTATTTGGGAAATAAGATACTTATTTTCTTCACTGCTAAAGGCTGCTTCTTCATTTGGTGAAAGCATTGTTTTATCCATGTTATCCTTTAGCCTTTCCTTTAGCTCCTTTTCCTAAGAAACAAAACAAAGGTATTGTAGAATGCTTTATGGTCATGATCCTAGAAAGAGAAGGCTCACTAAGCTGAATACCATTTCTTTTGCAGCACGAGCTTTTTCTCTAGCAGCAATCATTGGTTCAGCAGCTATGTCATTTTGCATGTCAATCCAGTTCCTCAGCTTGCTAAACAGAGTAAATAAATCATTAATATAGAATAATAATATATTTCCACCATTATTTTATATGTGATGTTATAGACTTGTGTTACCACATTAATTTAATTTATTTCCTGCAAACGTATAACAGAGTCATATAAACTTTTTATGTTCTAAAAAAGAATAATAAAAAACATTTTTCCCTTCTAAAATAAAACTAAAACAAAGAAAGTGGCAGTGAAGTGAATTAATTTTAGTAAATGTAGTAAGTACTACTTACTCAATAGAGGGTTAAAACAAAAAAATACGAACAAAGAGAGTGGCAGAAGTATATTAATTTTTACTAAATGTAATAGACACTACTCACTCAGTAGAGAGGGTCTCATCACAAAGAAAATTCAGAACACGCAGCTTACAAGAAGGGCTCAAGTTTTTATATCCTGATATCCCCTGATTGATATAGTTGAGAGGAAATCCTTTTGATATAAATGCTGATTCACTTATATATTTGCCAACATCAATTACCCATGCATCTCCATCTCTTGTATAAGCCAGAGGCCTGGAGACAAAACATTTTTATTTTTAATAACTACGTTAAAACAAATTTGCAAGGAGCTATCAACTTGGATTGTACTTACTTCTTCCCCCTTCCTTCTCGAATGACAGATAACAAATTTATGTGAAACCCAGCAACAACTGAGGATACCAACCGAAGTTCACGGCCTCCAACTAAATCTTGAAGAATTCTTTCTGGTTGCCCTTTCTTTATTTGAAAAATCTGTGTGAAAGAACATGTTCGATGTTATTACATAATTTAATGTGTCATGAAAGTGAGTGTTCACGCTAGGGAAATTGAAATGTTAAGTGGAAAGAATAAACAATTTATGAAGACTACATTAAAGAATCCTAATTCATTTTGAACCTGCGGACGAGCCAGTGGCTCAGTGGTGAAGCCACTCGGTGGGAGTGCCACCCACCCAAGTTTGATTCCCGGCTGGGACGACTCGGGTGTCGCACCTCGGGATTTTTCCCGGATTTGTTTCCTGTAGGTCCTGGATATTCGCATGGCGCCACAATGGGACTACGATGTGCCCGTCGTCTACGAGGTCCATGCAGCTTCAGTGATCTCCAGAAGGACGCGAGATGTGTATAGGTTGTAGTTCTAGGGGTGTGCTTGTGTGTGGTGTGTTCGTTGAGTAGAGTTCAGATACTACAACTTGTATACTAGGGATCCAGGCTCAAAAAAAATCATTTTGAACCTTATAACACTTTTAGTATAATGTATCTGTTCATTTAGTGATGATTCCATTCCACCATGATAATAAATGTTTGATTTCTGCATATTGCCTATATGCAGAAAATAATTAACACTTTTGTGAAAATGCCTGGATATACCAACTAGGCGACTAATAACGTATTATGCTTGCATTACTCCTACGATGAGCACTTTCATAACATCAACTTTCAAAGGAGAGAGAGAGAGAGAGAGAGAGAGAGAGAGAGAAAGTCACTGTTCTTCTAGTTAGTGAACAACTTTTCATGCTGTAACAGGTCGCAGCTAACAAAATACTTTCACTACTATTCTTGTTCTAGAGATTGCAGTATACTACTGCTATAATAGACAAGGGTTCATAGTCACTAGCTCGCCATAAAATGGTTGTTATAGTGTTTGGACACAATTGGAGAGGTAGAGTAGCCAGCTAAATCGACAGTGATATGTAACAACTCATCAGTGCAAGATATATTTTAAGCCTCGTATGACAAATTCTAGCCTTCTTTTAGCTCAGATTCTTTCATCTGGATGAACAAGTTATAACGCAATGTACTTTTGTCAACAAAGAACATTAAGAAAAATGTGCCATCGAACTACCAACATAAACAAAAAGAAGAATGAACAAGCATAACTTCCGTCCATCAGCTTCATCGACTAATGATGAATGTCTTATAAAAAAAGAATCATATCTTTTTTCCATTAACCATTTATGCTGCAGACATATTAAACTTATAGGCAAGTATGTTGAAGCCGCAACTTTGCCACTGTACCTTTTTCTCTTAGAAAATTCATTCCCCGGGTCTGTGTTATCCATAAGGTGAATAATTATGTGTCAAAGATCAAAATAAATAAAATAAGACTGTAGCACAGCATCAAAAACAGATTCTATTATTATGCACTTGACATTACATGGCACTTTCTACATTTATTGTGCACTATATATGCCTTGTCCTAGTGCACTTTCATCGTTTTTATAAATGTTTATCAATTTTCAAATAAATTAAAAGATTGGTATGTCTTTAAGAAAATTAAAAGATATGGCATGTCTTTAAGAAAATTCCATCTTTGTGAATAACTATATCTATAGTGACTTGAAACTTGAACAAAGACACAACATGCAGAACTACAGACACATGTATGGTAGACTTCAAAACACCAACATATATGCCTGTTTTCAAACTAAAATACTAAATTTGCACTATTTTCTAGAACAAGCAGGAGAGTTAAGTATCAGTATCATTAAATTCTGTGCACCCTCAATCTCCAAACGAGCACACAATACAAACAAGACAGAATTATAGATTATGCCATCTCGAATGTGCATGGGCCAGTCTGGAACCTTTGAACTAAATCATGACCACTGGAGTAGTCAAATAAAACACAGGAGAGAAGGGTCAACTCCTCTGCACGATTCATGAGGTATAAGAAACGAAAGGCACGGTCCTAGGAAGGAATCAAGATGTTGTTTGCCTTTGCCTTTTTGAAAATCCTTTTTGTTATACTGGGTATTTTTGCATTTTTTTATTTCCTTTTCGTGGTCCTACTTATCTGATGGTAAGCCAATGCAAATTAATATGGCCATGAATTGACTCAAACACTGGTGATGCTCTGATGGTAATTATGTTCCTTAATTAGCGAACTTAAACACCAAAAAGATCTGCATCAGACAAAAAAAAGTTCAGACAACACACACAGTAAATTATTGGCACTTTTAAGAACTTACAAGATATGCGCAAGTTCCATCCAGGTTGGGCAACTGCCTGGAGGCACACTCCCTTGGGGAGAGTGCCCATTAAACCTAGAATACCCATCTGCACTCTGTTTGATGTTTCATGGGCTAAGCTTCTAATATAGACTTAACAATGATGGCCATGTAAACTATCAATAGAGCTGCTCACTTCTGGACACAACTTAAGCCTAATAAGCACGGTCACCTTAAGTAACAACTGCGCCTCAACAAGCTATGTGTGAGCTACTCAAAACTAAATTCAGAGTCATGTAATCAAGGTTTCCAAGCAACAAAACAAGATGGCTGGTTGCTAGACCAGCTGCAGGACCTCCCTATTTCCTTAAAAACAGACTTGATCAAGGGGAGAGACGTCCTGTTGACTTTAGTCTTCAAGAAGGGGCCCACCGAACCCGGAACAGGCAGGAACCTCACACGTGCGTGCTTCTTTGGCAGCCACGGAACCATCTGCACTGTTTCAACCAGAGAGGTGGGCACACAACCATGCAGCACCAGGGATCAAACCCTGGTGGGGAGCTCCACAACTCAGGTGCTCAACCACTGCGCTATCAGTGCGTCTGCTCCTATTTCCTCAAGATCAACCAGCAGTAAGTTCAAGAAAAGCTCATATTTCTCTCACATCTTGCCTCACCACCCACAGGCTCCATAATCACACGCCAACCCGAACATCCCTTTCCCTTGATGGTTTGCATCCCCACAAACAGGTTCTAGATGCCTCAGTCCAACACCCACAAGTACCTCTCCTTGCCTGGCTGGGATTCCAAACTTTTAGCAACCTCTAATTTTAATTATGATTCCGCTTGGCATCAAAACCCAAACTTACTTAAGCAGCTAGAGTTCATACAATGCAAAATCATGGCAAAAGTCAAATTCTCAGATATCCGAACACAGAATCAAGTGTTAAAAAAAACAAGGCATGCACCATTATATTTATAAAATTAAGCTCACTCTTTCTTGCCTTTGACTACCTCTGTAAATGCACGGCAGAATTCTAGAAACTGAATTGCAGCCCCAACATCCTCATCGTCAAGTTGTGCACCTGCAATGTTTGTGACTGGGGTACCCCTGGGTAGCACAGTGTTACTATTGAGCGAATCAGGGTTCTCATCCATCTGCAATGGTTCACTATTGACTCCACCATGTGACGTTTCATCAGCAGGATCCTTCTTTGCCCTGTGCTTGAGCTTCTGCCTATTCTTGATATGAATAGAAGGAAGTGAATTGAGATCAACACCTATATTTTCATCCCCTTCATCTGCTGGAACTGTATTGAGATCAATGCCTATATTTACATCCTTTTCAGGGGCCACCTCATCAGCAGCATCTGTCCCTTGGGATCTCTTTGTGCCCTGCTGCATGTTTGTAACAGTGTGTCAGTAAAGCATATCAACAAGAGAGTATTATTGCAAGGCACAACATAGAATTAGAGAGTAAAACAGCAATACCTTGTCACTACCATTCACCCTGAGTATCGCTTGCGCAGCAGCCACCACATCTGACCCCTTTTCAAGGAGATCATGGACAGAGGTGCACCCAGAAGCCTTGGCGATGTGGGCCATTATCCCAGTTGGTATCTCGCCTTTCTTCTTTCTGGTCAGACACCCACAAGACAAATAAGAAGATCTAGATTCCCCACCATGACAACTGAACTGAGCACCAGCACCCCCAAATCATCTATGCACGGCTCACCTACAGAAGCTGCAGTTACAGATGCCCCTGCACTTAGGGCAGATCCAGTCCTCCTTGCCGGCCGCCTCCTCGGCACTCTCGCCGTACCTAAGGAAACCAGACCACTGAGAAAGAAATTGCACCTGCTGGGAAGAAATTGAGGATGGCTATTTACCTGTTAAGGAGGCACTTGCGGCAGTACTTGATTGGGCACGGACCCTTCTTCTTGACTTGCTTGCACGCCGCTGCGAAGTCCGTTGTCTTCTGGCGGCACTGCAGAGAACAGAGGAGCAAAACGAGTCAAATCTAAGTACCTCGTAAATCAGAAGCAGGGGAACAGGAAGGACGGGCAGATTAGCTCACCTGGTGGCAGGTCTTGCCATTCTCTGGATCGTAGATCCGGCGACCAACAACCCGGACTCCGGGCGCCGGGTTGCGCTTCTTGGCCTTGACCTCCGGCGCTATGACCTCCAGCGGCTGCGGCTCCAGCACGTCGGCCCTCCCCTCGCCGAAGCGGACGTTCCCCTCCGGTGGTGCGGCCATCCAAAGTGACCGGCGACGAGCTCGGAGGAAGGAAGGATGAAGCTAGGTCGTGGAGGCTCTCAGATTCGAAATGAAGGAATGCTGGATTGTCGTGGTGCGAGAGGCTTATGCGGGGATTTCTTCCGTTTCTGGTGGGTCTCCAATTAAAAGGAGATGTTCAATGCGCAATTTTGGTAGAGCGAGCGGGAAATGAAGATCATGGCGCCGCCGAATTCCCCCAAAAGGTTTCAAATTGTCCGTCTCCCATGAGCCCATAACACCGCTCTATTAATCCAACACATGCGCCCCAGCTTTTACTTTGGGCCTCTTTATTTTCAAATAAGTCACCCTACTTATAAGTTAAAAAGTAAAATAAATGACTTATTTTGTTAAACACCATTAACTTATAAGTCACTCTCTCTTATAAGTTTTAAGTTGGTTCACCCCTGCTTAAAACTTATAAGTCACCCTTTTTTACGTGGGGCCCACACCTTTAATGAGCTTATAAGTCATCTGCAACCAAACAAGCATGACTTATAAGTCACTGGTTTTCAGTCACCTAACTTAATAAGTCACCTGACTTATGGAAACCAAACAGGCCCTTAGCTCCGAATTTTCTCGAGGCTTTTACATGTGCGTCATTAAAAAAGTTTGGAACTAGATAGAAGCCATTAAAAAAATAACCGTACATAGGTGTCACTGCTCTAAACTTCTTTGCCTTATAAGCCATTCCGTCCTTGTTCTGTTTGTTTTTTGCCGTTTGGTGTGAGACCGGCCAGTGAAATTGTCCATGTTGCCCTTACGCACAAAAACACTCCCTCTCCTTCCTCCGCCCACAAAAACATTCCTCCCCCCCATCGCCTCTCATCACGCCTCCCCCACTTTCCTTTGCCTTCTCTCTCCCTCTTTTCCGCCAGAGCCCCAGGCCACGGCCTCCTATTCGGATCTCCTTCAACCACCGACGCCTATCCTATTCCGCATCTCCTTCAACCACTGACGCGCCTTGCACGGCCATCCGCAACTAGCGGCTCCATCCCCACGGCCCAGCCTCGGCCCCACTCCCGCACCATGGCTCTTTAGCTTCGGCATGTGGCTTTCTGGCGACCAGACGCTTCTAATCGGCTTCCGCCCATGCGCAACGGTGGCCCACAGCGAGCAAAGCGAGCCAATGGAAGCTACGTTTTTCAGCTCCCACCCTCTCTCCTCTTCTCTCGGCGGATATTCCGCGACTCTACGCCATTTGCCTTTGGCGCGCATCCGCTGCCACCGCCCCTCGCCAGGCGTGTAGGTTCATTGTGTCGAGAGAACATATCTCCCGTTCTCGTCTTCTTTCGCCGCTTCCCTAATCTCGTTAGTGGTCATGGACCCGCTTCTCCCTAGCCGTCTCATGGACCCGCTCTCCTCGCCTCCTCGCCTCTCGGCTCTCCGAACCCCACGCCCGCCGGCTCAAGCCTGCCCGTGCCGAGGCCCACCTCGTGGCGGCCGACCCAACACCACCACCACCACCACCTCCTCCACGCCATCTCGCATCCGCGTCCCGTCCCCGCCCGTCCCGTTCGGCCCACCGCCCTTGCCAGGAGTCGTTAACGTTCGCCGCACTCAAGGAGACCTTCGCGCGCCTTCACCATCGCTGTCTCGCGCCTTGTCGTGGTGAACAACGCCACCGTGCGCGCTTGCCGAGCTCAGCATAGCAGCGCCGTCCGTGGGGAGGAGGCCCGTCTTGCCCTCCGTCACCGTCGAGGACCAGCTCGCGGCGCTCGTGGTGTGAGACGGTGGGGGCGTTCTTCAACCTAAGAGATATGTTCTCCAGCACCCCCACTCTCGGGTTAGCTGATCTTCTTTTTCCGTTGGTAGGATATGACACAGTCATCAAGGGTAACATGGACAATTTCACTGGCCGGTCCCACACCAAATGGCGAAAAACAAACAGAACAAGGACGGAATGGCTTGTAAGGTAAAGAAGTTTAGAGCAGTGGCACCTATGTGCGGTCACCTTTTTTAATGGCTTCTGTGTAATTATAAACTTTCTTAATGGCGTACATGTAAAAGCCTCAATTTTCTTATTTCTTTTCACTCACCCTCCTGTTTTTTTTTACAAAGACACTCAAAAGAGTAAATAGATCCGGTTAAAAAGAATAAAATATATCATGACTGATTTGTGATTTATGCTTATGAGTTATTATGTGAGTTACAGAATTTTTATTTTTAGCATTAGCATCAGAAAAGAGTATGAAAAACATACTTTGGTACAAGCAAAAAGAAGAATTCGCATCATATCATCTTAACATCTTTATCGAAAATAATATCATCTTAAAATGCTTAGTAATTGGAAACCACAATTGCATCTGTCTTCGTAACTTCAGGTCGACAAATAGAACTAGATTAGGAAGCCATAAAATAAAACTTTCTTATGACCTGTTTGGTAGCTCAGCTTGACCAGTGAATCAGCTTTTGTTGAATTTGATCTACAAAGCAGCTCTAGAGGTGAAATTGAATCTGTTTTGGTGAACCGTTCAATAAAATAGCTTCTCTGAATTATTGAAGAGTATAATACCCTTAATGCCCCTATCTTTTGTAGCTTTCTCTTTTTTTCACTTTTTCCTCCTCTTTCCTTCCCTTATACGCTCACGCGGCCCCCGCCGCCCGCGTGAACCACAGCCACATCAACCTCTGCTACGGTGACTTGCTCCTGCCCCGTACTCGGCGACCCTCTCCCACTCATCGCGACCTCGGTGTGACGATGCCCCCACACCCTGCCCTCGCCCCCGTCCACAGCGGGCCTGCCCCCACGCCGGCCTCCACTCCCGTGCACGCCTCCACCCCGACGCCAGCGCTCGCCCCCACAGCCCGGTGACTCCACCCTTGGCCGACTCTAGCATCGGTAGGGGCAAATCTGCCCATGTCCCCATTGGGAACCACATGTGTTAAAACTTAGAAGAAATCCACCCATGGCTACATTTTTGAGCTTATACTCTCTCTCTCTCTCTGGCTCTTCTCTTAGTGGGAAATCCATAGCATCACCCGTGAAAGTAGACGAGCGAAAGGAACGTTTGGTGGAAGAAGTTGTTTTTTAGCTTTGTGAAGCTAGGAACAATCCCTACCACACGAGGCCTTAGACATCGCACTATCTTTTAGGATCTTGCTAATACCTTAGGTTTTATAATTGTTTCAAATAAGGCAATTTTCATCGTCACACTAATGACCTCAAGTTTAGTGATGTAGACACTGCCCGATCTTCCGATGATGGAGAACTCAATGTTCACGATTGTAAGGACCATGACGCCTAAGAGGGGAGGGTCCTGGTGCCACCCCTAGCTGCCAAAAGGCAAGGTTGCTCACATTGAAATGGCTTCTTCCAAAGTAAAATGTCGCTTTCAAGATCAAGATCACGTACACGCCACATATATATGTTGCTTCTACACTAGAAGTACGCAACAACATGCCATTCATTTCCACCAAATAAATGCTCCATGTTCTAAAAGAGTGATCTCTCTCATTATGTTTTTAGTAGAAGAGATATGGGCTATGCAAAAGTATGAAAAGAAAAAAATGGACACACGAAGGTCCAAGGTATCGAAAAACAAAAGAAGAAGAAAATGTGAGCACATGAAGGCTCATAAAAAATTATGATGGCCATGTCTCAAAGTAATAAGATAGAGAGGGATCATATCAAATAAAGGACACATTTTCATATACCATGTTCCACACACATGCACATCTTGATCTAAGAGTATGACACTTCTCTCCTTGGAACCGAGCTTTGACTTTACAACATATGCAAGGTAAGTATGCTACATCTTTTATCCTACACAAAGCTCCACGTATACCATTAGAAGTAGGATCAGAAGGCAACACGAAAATATGCCTTGGTGAGAAAACATACACTAAGAGTGATGTGAGAGTACCATATGAGGAACTTAAGTTTTCTTTTGAAAATTGCAAAACCTCCGATATGAGACTTATGAGGAACGAGAAATCTAGTGCTCAAGTCAAGCTGCTCCATCTTGCAACCACCATGACAAAGGAAAAAGGCATAAGCCCCATGAAGGACTAAGGTAATATGGGTGAGCTTTCAATATTGCTAAATTTTAATCATAAGAAAAGTATGTTTGTTGTGCACATGGTGTCGCGAGGGGCAGCCTCCCCCATGCGCGCCGAGGTAGCACAGGCGTCATCCTCTTGACCAGCCTGAGCCGCACCTAACGGACACGCCCCCCTCGCGCAGGAGGGTAGCATCTGCGCCTCCTCTTCAGGATCTTAGCGGTTGAGTAACATACAGCAATCCAAGTAATAAACTAACATTTGACCCAACAAATAATACAATAGAGTTATTAGTTATGAAATCTTTGCATGAACCATTGTAAATTACAGGAGTTCGAAACAGCGTTTAACACATCTAGGTTGACATCTCAAAATCACTCATGCGCGAACTTCAGAGTTAACTTGAAGAACACTTGGAGTTGCCCGCCCCATGGTCTACTATGTAGCGGAGAATAGAGCATAGCTCAAATCAACCGCATTAGCTTTACCTGCAAAACAACTTAACGGCAGCACCGTGAGCACATTTCATACTCGCAGGACTTAATTCTAACATAGGAATATTTGGTGGATGCAAGGATGTTATCAGGCATTTGTACATTTGTAGAAAAGCATACGGTGTTTCTTAATGACATGCTATAAATTCATCATTAAAGATATTAGCATTAAAAGGTATGATATCCAAAAGAGTGATCACCATCATTAAAACGTATCATCATCAAGTTCCATCATTACGCTACCATGGGTATATTGAGTAGGAACAACCCAAGGGGTCCGTCCCGAGGGACTTCAGGCTTTCCAAACTCTGCAGAGGTGTACAACATCCAAACGGAAATACGGGACTAACCACCATACCAATGCCTGAGTAAGGGTTGCCTCACAATTTCCAACCTTTCCCCAAATCGGCCCGAATATCCCATGAAAGGTTCGACTGGTGTCCGATTAGTGCTAGTGCTTCCACCCACTTACCAACGCCACCTTCT